TCGGTTCCTCGGACCTCCATTGCAATTCCTGATTGTTGGATACTATCAGCTAACCTATCCCAGATAGATCTTCACGAGAGCTAAACATAAGAAGTTCAGTCAAACTTACGGCATTCTGTCGAAATCGTTCCATAGCTAGGAACTTGCGAACCGCCCCGGAGCTAGGACCGGTGAACCGGCAATGATACACCGAATATGTACATGTACTGTATGGTGGATGAAGGTTGTCAGGAGATAAGAGCCACCAAATATCGTCCCAGAAATGGAGGAGGAAGGGCTTGTGCTAGAACCCGACGAGCATCAAGTTTAGTCTAGCACGGGTGTGAGGTATGGCGAGAAGAATTCGCTTGAGATGTGGCTTTCCTAGAGGGTTCGTTTCGTTGGCGATTTTACATCTCTCTGACCGACCAACCAATATTTCAACAGGAATACAAAACCAAAACAGGAATATCATTTACATAGTAAGTGGATCGCGAATGCCTTCGACTCGTTACTTGAGATTCGTTAAGTCGGGATTAGGAGGCGGTGGCTTCAGAGAATATCGAGTTTTTTTCAGACCATCCGACTTTTTATCATCATTTAGGAGTCTTCCTCGGCCGGAAAGACATTACAAGGTATCTTAATGAGAGCGGTTCCAGCTACTTGGAACATCACGTGACTGTGCTATATATACCCGTGTTTCGCGAAGATGATCCTGACATATCTTTTACCAACCGACACGACGGCCAATCAATCTGAGATCGCCTTACCAACTTTCGTCCAATTTGGTGAGCCATAAAAAGGTCACAAAATACCTAAAGGACCGATGCTGTTACCACACGGACTGCAGATAACGATACTTTTAGATGCACGAGCCGTTCCGATGGATATGGCTCTTGTCTTTTCTGTGCTGTTAGCTTACTTCCCCAAACCTGCACCCCATGATCTCCATGGTCTGATCATGTCGCTTGTGTGGCATAGAGCGACTGACTAGTCGAGGATTCTCAACCCCTCCCCGGCATCATTGATCCTATCTTGGTTTCCTGTCATGAGATGGAGGTCGCTCGTACTTTTCTTCACGCCTGGCTTCGATGGCTTGTGCTCCTTCCACCAATCATTCTCTCTGGAATCTTTGGGGCTTCAGCCTCCTTTTCTGAGGCTGGTACCGACCGGGCCGTCTATTCCATTCGGTGGAATCAGTTCACAGTTCAGAGCAATGGAGAGACGTGACGGAGGCCTCAGCCGCGCGCCTATGGCGTAAAACAAGTGGCGCGGTTGACGATCCGGGATACCGAAAAGAAGGAAATCCCGAGAGCCTCGCGAGGCTTGTTGGCGTCCCCTCGATCTTGCCTCTTTTCTTCAGACGAGATGCGTCTACTAGGATCCTTCCGTGTAGTCTTGGCCATCCATTCCCGCCACACAGGAATAGAGTTCTTTGCCCCAACCAACACGGCAGGCCTAATAGGAGGGCTTTTCCTTTGGGCTCGGCCCGAAAGGGATACACGAGCAGACGAGCAGCTCTCGAGCTGATCGACTATTGAAGGGGGACAAGTGTCAAAGCACGACATGCGCAGAATAATGCAGCCCGATGCACTGGAGTGGCGCATTTAGTGTATCCGTCAATGATCGTGGGGTCACGATTTCGCGAAGTCGCGAAGATCTTGATGGATCTCGACCTTTGGCTTCAGGGGTTCTCGACAAGATTCCCAGATTGAGCCTGCGGAGGAGCCTGTTCCGTTGTCTATTTGATCCCCAGAACACCCCATCCCCAGATTTCACCCCGGGAAACTAGGCCGTTCTCCGAAACAGTCGCAATTCCTGTCCAATCAGCAGAGCCCCTCGGCCTACTCAAATTCTTCCCATCGTATGTAGTTCATATGTGCGTTCATCTACTGAGATGACATGTTCCAAAGTCCATAGCTTCGGCCGCATTTATGGCATGGGTTTCGATTGTCGTGCCTATTAAGAGGAATAACTTTTCCTCGAGATAATGAGATTTTGTTCCTCACTACTTCATTCATTCGATCACGAACTCGTCTTTCCGATCTTTGCGTAGATCATCAAATCATCTACATTGGATCTGGTCACGACCACAGCCATGTCAGAAAAGCACACAGCCGATATTTCGGCCGTCGACCATGTCGACGACTCCTTGGAGAAGCCAGTCGCTGTCGAGACGAAGATTGTCATGGGCGATGAAGGGTTCAACCAAGCAATGATTAAAGAGCCGCCTCAACCATTCAACTGGATTGCAGTTCAGTTGTACTTGATCTCGATTATTGGCTTTTGCTGCTCGACCTCTAACGGCTTCGATTCCTCCCTTTTCGGTTCTCTTCTTGCCAATAACGCCTTCAAGGACTTCTTCGCCGTAGGCTCCGTGGGTCTCCAAGCTGGTATCGTATCCTCCATGAACCAGATTGGTGCTGTGGTATCCCTTCCCTTCGTTGGCCCTGCGATTGATACCTTTGGCCGAAAAGCTGGCATGTTTATTGGCGGTTCAGTCATTATACTTGGTGTTATTATTCAAGGAACTTGCATCCATACCCATAGCGTCGGCCAATTTATGGGAGGACGGTTTTTTATGGGCATGGGCATCAATTTGATTGCTGCGGCTGGCCCCGTGTATGTGGTTGAAATCTCTCACCCAGCATATCGTGGCGTAGTCACTGCTTTCTACAATGTTTTCTGGGTATGCCAAATATTCAAGATCAGACCGTGGCATTGCTGACTCGAAGTAAGCCTGTTGGTGCTCTTGTTGCAAGCTGTGCCTGCAGAGGGACTATTACATGGAACAATAATGCGTCTTGGATCCTTCCTATCTGGTTGCAGATGATGTTTCCTGGAGTCGTTTGGGTCTCTGCTTGGTTCATGCCCGAATCCCCACGTGTAAGATTTTGATTTTTCCATCCTTCCTCTTATTGAGACTACGGTACGTAAGGAATCATCCGACTGACTTGCATCTAGTGGCTCTACACCAATGGCAAAGCAGACAAAGCTAAGGCTTTCCTCGCCAAATACCACGGAAATGGCAATCCAGACAGCGAATGGGTCAAGCTACAGATGTGGTATGTCTCTACTTTTCTTTGCAGAATAATATCCCATGGGCCTGCGTGCCTCATGATTTCTTTCTCGTACATCTTATTTCCGGCCACTCCTAAACTGTTCGAAAGTGATTCACTAATAGTGTCATCTTGATGAACAGGGAATATGAGGCTTATCTAGAACTTGAAGGGGCAGACAAGCGCTGGTGGGATTACCGTGCGCTTTTCCGCGATAGAGCCTCCGTTTACAGACTCATGGTCAACTGCATCGTTTCGCTCTTCGGTCAATGGGCAGGAAATGGTACGTTTACAATAGAATGCCTCCTTGTCCCCTTCCCCAACAGACATCCCTTCCATTCGACTATCATGCTTACACGGTCTTGCAGGTGTTGTGTCTTACTTCCTCTCTGGTGTTCTCGACACCGCAGGTGTGAAGGGTATGTCTCAACCTTTCCAAATAACTTCCCCTCACTAATTCTGCGGAATGTTAATATTCCCGGGATAAATTTTGTACTTCACAAAACATCTGACTAACACTAAATTTCTATGATAGACCCGATCATCAAAACTGATCTCTTCACCGCTATGAACGCAGTGCAGTGCGTTTTCGCCTTCCTTGGAAGTACTTTAGTCGATAGAGTCGGGCGTCGTCCACTCCTCATCTGGGTAAACGTGGGCTGCGCACTCTGCTGGATTGGTGTGTCTACAGCTTCTGGCATTCAGGCTCACAAGGGAGACAAGGCATCTAGTGCTGCAACGGTAGCAATGATCTACATTTTCCAAGTGGTATATTCAATTGGTTGGACTCCTCTGCAGGCTCTATACCCCGTTGAGGTCCTTTCGTTTGAAATGCGTGCTAAGGGAATGGCTTTCTCTGGTTTGTTTGTCAATATTGGTAAGCCTTTTCTCCCACTCTTAAACTCTCTCAAGTATCTTATTCTAACGATTGTAGGCACTCTTGTCAACCAATTTGGATTCCCAGTCGCGCTCCAGAATATTGCGTGGAAAACTTATCTCGTATTCATGTATGTTGAACCTTTTCTTTTTTTTGCATGACTTTCCCACTTCTATAAGGCCTGTTCACGGTTCAGATACCTGGAGTCAACTCCAACTAGTTCTTCCCCTCGTCATTATACTCCTGCTGAAGCCATTACTGATTCGTGGTCTTAGGGTATGGTGCGGTATCCAAGCAGTCATTATTTACTTCCTCATCCCCGAGACCAAGAATCGTACTCTCGAAGAACTCGATGCAATCTTCAAAGCCAAGAACCCCATGCGGGCATCTATCGCGAAGAAAGTGGTCAACCTTGACGCCAACGCGAACATCATTGGGATTGAGGAAGTCGAGAAATCTCCTGAAAATCATGTTTAGAACTACACCAGAAGAATTGGGAGCTACTAATCTATGAGGGGAAAAGGAGGAGGTGTAGAATGGAAGGGAAAATTTGTTCTAGAGTTTTGTGGATAATCTCAGCTATGATACAAGTATAAGATTGTAATTTATGCTCTTCCACCATTACAGGAAACTAATTGTCCGACTTGTTGTGAAACTATTTACCTATCATCATTGTCGCAATACTGCTCGAACATTCAGGACCTAAGGTAGATGCGATTCTCTTTGTGTAGTGGTAATAACATTACTTATTGAACTGGCTGCGGACAGTTCGCAAAAGCAAAATTAGGTTCAACTCCTGGAGGGTGCAATCTTTTTTATTCTTTTTCTCTCCTCTCTGCTGCCTTTCTCTTATTGCTTATTGTGTCTTGTAAGGAAATTTTACAGGTTTTATTTGGCTCATACAACACCTTTTTTGGTTGGAAGTTTTGAAGTTCTCAAATCCGAAGAAGGGCAACAAGAGCGACGGGGCGACGACAATCTAAACCGCACCGTTCCCAAAGCAGGCGACTAACCGACGGCTGCCACCTTTCCCACAATAGACATAAAGATTCAAATAAGCAAAATTGACATCCAACAAACACAAAGGCTTCTTGGTGGAATGGTACCACACTTCCCTTCCATTGGAAGAGGAAGAGGACTGGGTTCAAATCCCGGAGAGGTCCCTGTAGACACGCTCTCTCGAGGCAAGTTCTTGGGCGATCGTTTCTACTTTTTGTTTTTTATTTTATTTTTTAGGCTGTTTGGAGATCGAGGGGTAGATAGAGGTTTGAGTGTTTTGCTGGGTTTGGAGACTGAAGCCTTTTTGGATTTCGCGAATTAAGCGAGGGTTTGCAAAGGAGACATCAGTGTCTTTGTGCTCAGCAATGACATTGTTCTTTCATTGTCCGACTCTTAGAAGAATAATATCTGTTAGATAGACAATGTCGTTAGGGCAGACAATCTCTTTCAAATCTTTGAAGAACGAGTACAAGACCGCTTTGTCCCTTGTTTTCTCCATAAAACGTCCCTCGGATTCTCGGGTTTACTCGTCACTTGAAAATTCCCGCACTTTATTTTCATCAATAGCGTCCAAATAGAAACTTCTAGGAAACCCTCCCAACGCCCAATACTAACGAGAAAGCACCAAACGAGCCGAGAGCTTGAGATTATTAACACAGATGGCACCCTCCAAACCCCGCCGAAGCCTCACAATCTCAATCCCACCTTCTCCCCTCCTGGATATTCAACTCACCAACAACCTCGCCACCTCCAACCCATCCCTCACACCAAAAGCGTTAAATCTAAATTACAAACCCCTCTTCCATTCTCCACCCCTCCTCCCTTCTCCTTCCTCCAAATCTACAATCCCTACCCACCCCATCTCCATCCCCGACCCCAAACCCGTCCAGAAACCCTCTACCTCCTCCCCCATTCCTGCCTGCAATGCCACCTCTCCTCCCTACCTTGCTCCTACCCCACCCCTCACCACCTAACCCATCAATCCCACTCAACCCTCCCTATCGTATCTTGCACCCGCTGTTTACGCAACGGGGAGGAGTTTTGTATAAAGAGGATTCCGAGACAGGCTAGTTATACCGGGAATTGGAGGAAGAGGGAAGTGCGTGAATGGGAGAAGTTTGAATTTATTGCAGACAAGGTGGTGGAGATACGGGAGGACAAGGGGAAAGGAAAGGGAAAGGGGAAGGGGAAGAGGAAGGAGATGAGAGTGGTGAAGGTTGAGGAGAGGGTTGTGAGGGAGAAGGTGGAGGAGATGAGGGAGAGGAAGGAGAGGGTGAGGAGGTGGATGTTGCCGATGCCGATGCTGAGTGAGGAGAGGGTTGATAAGATGAGGGAGGGACTGAGGAGTGTGATGAGGAGGTTTGAGAGAAATTGATGGAGGGAGGAAAGGAGGCAAGAAGGTAGGTGGTGTGTGTGATGAGTGTAAGTTACACGTCTAGCTGGTCTAGATGATGATATATATAAGAACATAAGAATGAAAATCTGTTCAGATATTTCCGAAAATCCTCAATGGGAGACGTCATGACACGTGAAACTGAAGACTGTAAAATTGATCATCGATTGTCTGTGAAGCAACGTGTCTATAGAGGCAGCTACTCTAGCTTGAGTATTGCATAAACTAGCGATTTTTGGCGCAAATTCCTCTCCTTTCTAACCCAGCTTGGCTTCATATCCTTGTAAAGAGCAACGCGATATGATCGATCATACACTTACAAAAATCTGACACATCCATCAATTCTCCTTGCCATTGTTCTCTTCCAATCTCTCGGTTTGGAAATTACAGAAGTGACTTCTGCATCGGTGAGGCTCGACTTCTCTCGCTCAGAATCTCTTCATCGACACCGGTCTCCTTGTACGGATCATACATCTTGCTTCGGATCCAAGTGTCAAGGTTGGCATCACTTAATCCTCGAATGGATGCTTCACGATCGAGACCTTGTCGTTGGGCCTCCTTAATCACTTCTCGGCAGACGATGACGCTGACTTCTCGGATACGCTCAAGATCAGGATAGAGCTTGCTGTCATTGATCTCGGTAGCATTGGTTGCCTCGCTAAGAGCGACGGCTGAGGCATAGATCTGCGAGTTATTAGAAGGTACATCTCAATTCAGGATGGGAAATAACACGGTACCATTTCTTGACTGATGTGGATTGCTTTGCTGAGGATTGCACCAAGACCAATACCTGGGAAGACGTAGACATTGCTACAAAATTAAGCCTCGAATGTTTTGTACTTTAGGGGCGAGTGAAATACTTACTTTCCTTGACTCGGTTGCAAAATCTTGCCATTGTAGAGGAATGGTGGAAATGGGCTTCCGCTGGCGAAGATGGCTCTACCCTCAGTATGCTTGATAGCCTCCTCAAAGGTGCACTCGGCATTGTTCGAAGGATTTGAGAGCGGGAAGATGATAGGTTCGTCATTCATCTGAGCCATCTTCTTGAGAATGGATTCATTGAACACTCCTCGGATGGTAGATAATCCTAGAAGCATAGTAGGCTGAACGTAGTCGACGACTTGATCTAGAGTCTTGAATTGTTGACCATTATTGTCATCTCGGGAGAAGTAGACTTTGTGTGGTTGAAGTCTATCTCCCCTATCGTTGGTGATGAGACCCTGAAGATATCAGTCAAAGTCAGACGAGAGATACCTAGAAGCATTTTACCTTGGTGTCAACAAACCAGAATAACCGGCGAGCTTCATCCTCAGTCAAGCCTTCCTTTTTGAAGAATTCAACAATCTGCTTAGCAACCCCAACACCAGCACTACCTGCTCCGATGAAGACAGCCCGTTGATCCTTGACAGGCTTGCCGGTCTTCTTCAGTGCGTTGATGATACCTGCCAAGATAACTGCTCCTGTACCTTGGATATCATCGTTGAAGCAAGAGAATTCATGTTGGTATCTCTCGAGTGCAGGGAAAGGGTTCTTAAAGTCCTCGAATTGGACAACAATGCTAGAGACGATCAGAATTCTTGGTGTGGACCGTGAATATGGATACTTACCCGGGCCAGATAGTGTTCAAAGCAACCATCAATTCATCAAGAAATTCCTTCTCCTCGGCGTCCGAAACCTTCCTCATGCGGTTACCCAGGTATAGCGGGTCCTTTAAATAAGCCTCATTGTTGGTTCCAAGATCCAGACACAAGGGCAAGGTATTCTCAGGCCGGATACCAGCGCATCCTGTGTACAGAGTTAATTTGCCAATAGGAATGCCCATACCATTAACACCCAAGTCTCCCAGTCCGAGGATTCGAGAGCCATCTGTCACAACGGTAATCTCAACTTTAGGCTTGGGCCAGTTGCGAAGGACATTGATGATATTACCACGATCATGCCAAGAAATATAAAGACCTATGTAATATTAGATCTTGCCATGCCCGGACATCACAACCCAATATCCGAGGACTTCTGGGACCTGCCTTCTGGTTGTTGATATATTTCAGACCATTTGAGACACGCCTCACCAACCACTGGAGTATAGACCACCGGTAGGCCAATCAGTAAAGTAAATCAGTAAAAATACGTGCTTGGGTGGACCGGGATTCAATAGTTACATTGAAGTTTTCAAGCAACAAGCGGTAGAATATATGACAATTTGCATTCCTCAAACTATTGAGGTAGATATACTTCTCAATTGGCGACGTCTTCGAAGTCAACTGCTTGAGACCTGTGGTTGCGGTTAGTGAAGGTCAAGGGGTTGCTGGTACCCACTCTTACATCTTTGGGTTTGGAGAGCATGACTTTCGATGCTGGGAGGCAGAAGACCATGAGTACGGAGTTGCTTTCGGACCTCGAGGGAGTGAGAAGTGTCTGGAGGTCTACAGTATAGTGTTAATCAATGGATTTCCGCAGGATGGGTTGTAGATAGTGACTCACGCGGAGTTATTTCGGGTTCGTTGAGGGGACGCTGGAGATGAGAACTGTGGAGTAGAAGACATCTTGAATGCAAGAGCAGATGAGTATCGGACTGAACTATTATGAGACGCGCGTTTTGAAGTGGTGGAGAGTAGTTGGCGCGTCGATATCTGGGTAGCCGTCCGCATTTGGGCGGATTGTTGACTAAATCGGAGAATTATTGAAAAAGGACCTCGGCAGGACGTGTCTTGACTCTTGAATTCGGTGAATTCGGGTGAGAAGAGCGACTGCCCAATTGGTCGGGTATATTGAGTCTGGAGGTTTATATTGTGGAGTTCAACAAGTTTTGCCTCGGAAGCTCCTGTTTCTGATATTTTTTTGAGAGGGGTTCTCAAGTTATCGTACAGTAGTATCGGAACAAGCAAGCGATTCACTCCAATGTCTCACGGATGTCCGATCCACTCCTTTTTGTCCCGAAGCTGAGTAAGACCCGATGAATTACTGCGCCAACTACGGCAGCTAACGGCAGTCTCAAGAAGCAAGAAGTGAGTCGGCAACAGATTCCAGCTGCAGGTTGCCAAGATGAAAGTGATCACGTGCTCAATGTTAACGACGACGACGACGTCGTCGCGCTTCGAGTCAGAGACTCAGAGTTCGAAATTTCCTGAACTGCATATCGTCCAATTGCGCCTTCCAATAATCATACAGACTGCTTCCGTGTCTCTCCGAAATCCAATTTTGATGCTGATACCTCCGCCTCGCGCTCCTCATCGGCTTTGCCATTCAATGCCAGCTTTATCCTCCAATTAATGAAATCATCAGAAAGGATATCACCATGACCAGTTTCCTCCGCCCTGAAGATGTCAATCGTTGATGATCTTTCCTTCCTCCTTATCCGCCAAACCCCATCTCCAGTGACAGTAGCCTTTATGACTATCACAATGTCAGTACCATTTCGGAGTGATCAGAAGCAAGACTCACAATCAAGTAACGCCGCGGCAAAGTTAATACACATATTCCCATCCCAAGTTCCCTTACCACGCCTTTTGACAGTCCCCGGTATTGAAGCCGTATCCATTTCTTCAACCCGTTTCAAGACCCCATCAGGCGTCCTAAAGCCAACCATGATCTTCGGTACGCCAAGAAGAAAGGATTGGATCCAAAATTTCATTAGCTTCCTTTCGAGCGTGACCATGTCTCGATCATTTCGAATGTCGGCAGTCGTTTTAAGCTCTACCCAGTTGATTGGGCCACCATCACTTGGTTTTGAATCCCAAACTGAGGTAATATATGTTAGTAATAGATATCTGAGAGATGTGGGAATCATACTGGCGTCTACTTCACCCCCAATTACTAACACTGAATTGCCGATGCCAGTCCGAACAATAGAGCAGTATTGCGCGTGATTGCTGACCACCTCGTTCTCACGATTTTCAATGTACTCTCTTGGAGTCTCGTCCCAGGGCTTTGGCAACAAGCACAAAGTTTCAAATTTGTATCCTTGATATGTCAGCAGGATCACGTCAGTTACACACAATGCATTTACTCACCCCAGAAGCTCATCATGTCTTGAGATGGTCTGCCTGGTTGGGATACTTGCTGCGATTGTCTGGCATGAGATTGAAGTTTGTAGGCATGGTTTTCTTCGATGAAGCTGTCACACTTAGCAAGAATCCTCTCAACTATCGCCTTAAGCATCATACATTGTGTCCTTCACAAATATTTTGTCAGCTTAGTCCAGAAATATCATTAATGAGGTTCGCCCACTTGGAAAAGCGTGGCATTCATTTCAAAGCTTCAGTATTACGTTAGCTGTGACACCGCAAGCGTATCTTTTCAATAGCATACCCATCTCTGTCACTGAATAATGCTGCCATGATCTGATATCCTGTTAGTCCAAGTGTCTAATCATTGTTTGGGGTTTGTATCTTCGCAGACTTTGGTCATCATCCCTCGCCACGTGATTATATCTGCCTCTGTACGTTTGCCTTCCTTCTGCTCATGAGCGATAATTGTCTTTAGTAGACTATCGAGATGCTCATCCGCAGTATCATCTAGCTTCCGAAAAGTGTCGAAACCTTTGCATAAGTCCGCTCCTAAAGTCGGTGGATAGTACCATTTGATGGAAGAATCATCGAGACAAAATTGATGTTGTTCATCATATGAAAAGCAAGCTATCTCCTGTAAATATGTAAGTAAGAGATTTAAATGGAACACATGCAGCTTCAAATATGAATTGACGATACTCGACCGATAGATTTTGCTTAGGACACTTGTGCCTAAGCAAGGAAAACAAAGTAGGTCTTTCGTCTGATAGGCTATAGGCCCCTAGTAGTAGGGAGACCCAAACCTAAATGGTGAAATTCTTTGAAAACCTGGACTTCATGCTTGGAGGATGTCTGAAACCTGAAGGAGCACGCATACCTTCGGTCGTTTGATGGCAGCACTCTGGCCCACGAAGCGGCCAATAGGCTGTATTTCAAAAGTGCTACTCATGATTGCCTTTCTTTTCAATAGTCATGATCTGTAAAAGCGAATTTGGCGCATGTTGTAGATGACCATGAAATAAATCTACAGGAAGGTTGGAGCAAGAAGGTGGGTCTGCACCCCACAACCCCAAGCCTCGTCTCAGCCTCGACCACAAACGAACCCCTTCGACCAAACAACCAAATCCTGCAACAAATATTTCTTTTGTTTTGGACAATCCATGCCATTCGTTACAGTACCAAAACAAACATCGATACCATAAATAACACAATGCCTGAAAGACGGCAAGCTACTTCCAGCACAAGCGGCAGCAACACTCGCACCACGGGCGTCCGCCGCAATTTGTTCCACCAGCATCTCAGCCGCCGACCTACAACAAGTTCTACCTCTACATCCACAGAGACTCTGCGACTAGATATTGAGCCCGAATCCGACTCCTCTGAGATTGTTGTCAGAGATAAGAATGGAGAGTTTGAAATTGGAGATCTGCCCATGACAACTTTTGATGATCATGAGGAGGGAGGGGATGCGCAAGAGGATGAAAGTGAGGATTTACATTCTAATGTGGATGTGCGGGAGGCTGATACTGGGATAGAGGAACGGCAGAGACTGGCAGACGCTGTGAAGCATCATCAAAGGGACAGAAATAGAGCTCCTAGTGAGCCTGCAGGTATGCAAAGTTCTTTGTTATGAATGCGTGGAAGCTAATTTCAATAGAGCTACTCGAGGCCGTGCGAAGCAGTCTGCGAGTCAAGGTCGCAGCGTTGGCAGAGGACAACTGGATGTATGAAGCAGAAGATGGTTCTTCTTTGCGATAGGATGCATGGACAGTATGGATTTGCATTCACGGCGTTCAAGCGTTCAAGATACCTTGGGTTAGTGGGACAAAATGGTGCATATTGAGATTTTGCAGGATGGCATTCAGTCTAAACCTTCCGCTGCTGGTGCAGAAGCTCCAACTCGCTTTGGCTGTTGCTTTGCAGGTGCAGCAAGTCCTCCCCCAAACATTGATCCCATCATATCGAAGAGTGGATTGCCCTGTCTTGGTCTCTGGATACCGAAGTACATCTCTCCTACCGACGTCAAAGCCTCATCCCATGTTCCCACTTCCTTGATATACGGCGCATATTTGCTCTTCAATTGTCTGAAAAGATCAGCGCTTCCCTTCTGCACAGCCAACAACAGTAGCCCTAAAAAGTTGAGCAGTGGCAGACTTGGGTAGATCCTCATGTCAGAGCTATTGCTGCTGACATCTTGCACACCCAATCCCTTATTCGCCTCGGTCAATCTGCTCGTAAATAATCGCAGTGATTTCGTAGCATCCCGTACATTCCCAATAAGCAGATATGGAAAAATCGCTCTCGCAGCATATTGGGCCGCCGTATGCGACTCGTCTTGCGTATACCACTCGTACTCCATCTTCGCAAACACCCTTGGAGAATCTTTTGTACCGAGAGTAAGATGTCGCTCTGCTTCGTATGCCTCATGCTCCTCTGCATATAGTGATCCCGCAACATGGTGCAGCTCAGGCTCTCCCGCTGGATACTCTCCGCATTTCGCTGACCAGCTATCTCAATGTCAGTGTCCTTTTCTATTTTACCAAAGATTCAAGCTGGAACGTACGAGATCATCTCCCCGATAAACTTCTTCCTCGTCGGCTCCTCGCTGTCAAACAGCCGCAACAGTGTCAACAGCTTTCCTTTGTTCGTCGCATCCGGCTTCAGCTCCGCCTGCTTGTACGTCTCGATAAGGAACAATCCCAAATCACCACCGCTACCACCTTGTCCAGCTTTCAAAAGTGATTGCGAGACATTGAACAGGATATCTATCGCGGCATCCCACGATTCGGATTTGATGTAGCGGGCTGCAACAACTCGAGTTTGTTGCTGCGCTTCGTAGAATTGTCCTTCTGTAATTCTTTGTGCGGACGTTAGGAGAAGCTTTGAGAGGAACTGGGCAATACATACTTCCCCTGCAATCGGACGATAATTTTCTCGATCTTGGCACTCATTTTGCCTTTATGTAGTGGAGGATGAGGGAAAGTGATGGAGGACTCAAAATCTTGGTTTGGCTTGACGACGAGGCTGAGCGATCGATTGGGCTCCGAGGCCCGGCAAAGAAGCCAGGAAAGCCAAATACCTAAACTTTCTCCAACTCAGTAGTTCGTATAATATACCCAGGCAATATCATTTTTAAGACCGAATTTTTCAATTTGAGATTTTCCTCAGCTGTCCCATCTTTAGCAGGAGCGTTCTCTCAAAAGTGGCTGGTTAGGACGTCCATGAAGAAAGAACTCTGCAATTTTTAACAAAGAAATCAATCACAATCATTCCTTTCTTGTCCAGTTCTTGTAGTTAGTTTTGAGCGCTATAATACTAACGTACACTAATTGATTTTCTGCTTAGATTTTCTATGGTCATTTCTAAAGTCGATCAATAAACATTACTGGCTAAAATACGCTCCGTACTAGCCAAAAGTCGGCAGCGTTTTTCTCCGTTTAAAATGCATTATTCCTAATTTAGCAGATTATGATGTTATCAATATAAATTCAAATAAGCAATTTTTGGCCTTAGGATAGGATGCGTCGAGCAAATTATCCAACAAAAAAGCTTGCGCTCTTGGTTTAGTGGTAAAATCAGCGCTTCCCATGCGCTGGCCCCGAGTTCGAACCCGACTTCCCGGAGCAAAGTTTCCTGAATTAGTATCATTTTGGAGTTAAGACATTGTTTGAGATGTGCATTTGGAGTATACTTGGAGTATATATCCGAAATGCAAGTGTGGAATACGACGAATACCTTTGCAAAGTGGGCATGTTATCCTCTTTTGAATCTTCCTAAGGTCGAAGCATACGTATAATACTAAGACTATATGTGAGGTGCTAAGGAGAGAGAGGTTAATGGGCGACAAGTGCCTTGGAGCTTTTGCACGAAAAGTGAGAGCAACAAACTTCCGTCTCTAAACAGAAGATAGTGACGAAATTTCTGTCTTGCAGCTTCCTAACACCTTAAACAGGTAGACATAACGTGTAACTACGTTCCTTCAATAATGCCCCCTCTCTTTTTAGTGGTGCACCACTATACTCGAGAACTTCACTGCTATCATGAGACAGTAACTCTGGCCGGAGTTGATGTTCAATCATCTAGCAGAGTGAAGCGGCACACGACCCTAGCAACCTTCTTCCAGCGTCCTAATTCTATCAAGCAACTGCTGGAATCTCATCCCACTTCCTTCCATGATTTGCGCACTCTTATCGACACTATTTTTCCCATCTCGCCAGATTCGCCTCCGTCCCTCACTGCTTAGTCTCCTCTCCTGACACCTCTCTCGTCTGCCACCTCTCCTCCCGTCTGCTGTCCCAACATCCCTAGTCTTGCCCTCTCTCGTCTTTCCTATTTCCTTACGAGGTCCCTTTTCTCAGAGCTAATGCATTGGTGATTGGTATCATCGGCAAGATACATCGTATTGTTTACGAATTATAACATCGACCAATAGGTGGGATTGGGCTAGTAGAGGTACGATAGCTATACACTGAACTAAACTTCATGGAACACCTGGGCCCTTTTGCGTGAACGTACAAAATAAATCTGCCGAGTTGGACTGAACGAGTTTCTTGGCTACAATGGAATATGCTGCATTGAGATCTCTCTCCGCACAAGCTTCTTCGCAGATGTATGAAATCCTTGAACTAAGTACAATTAGAGTGTCAAGTTGCAGAGAAGTTTGCTGAAATTTGATATGATATCTACGAATGATTAGACTTGTAGACAACAACGATGGATGTGATTTACCTCTCAGGATCCCTAATGTGCAAATACCGGATGTTGCTGAGGTATGAACTAAGTTGTGGAAAGTGCTGAGAATGAAGCTGAGCAACACACAGTCGCATCAGGTGAACAAGACAGCTCAACCAATCCACTTCTAGACCAGATGCCTCCCTGTCGATGCAGATTCGCAGGTGTTACTGCGACCGTGAAGGTGTTCGGACAGGACGTGGATATCAACTTTCAACTCCGTTGTTCCATTCTCTAGGTCGCTGAGCTGAGAACAAAGATCTAGCTTCTCGACTTCTCTGGATGATTGAACTGATGCCCTGCGGAGCCATTCCGAAGCTAACCCCCAACTGATGTATCTTTGACTCGCTGTCATGGCTGAAGACAGGAGGAAGAACTAGACGGGAAACATGACTGAGGCGGGTGGTGTGAATCTGTAGGTTGCGTTGAAGCCGAGGACCAGATTTTTACTATTGGAAGTACCATAACAACAGTTCTGTAGGGTGGAAATATCGGCAGAGGAATAAGTCTTCAGATTCGTTGAATGGTACTAGATGTCGATACGGAGCTTGTTGATTCATGCCGCACGAAAACCAGGAACATGCTTTGACAGCAGAAGACTGTTGTTGAAGAGTTATGCTCACAGGGCTTCGAATGAAGATCACAGAGAGTCCTTTCAGGTTGCCTAGAAGTGGGGGGTTGTAGTGAGTTTGAGTAGGCCACTTGCCGAAGTTTGAGCAACCGTCTCTTGAATCGACAGGACAACAGGAGACGATGTAAATGGGCTGGTGAAGATCATGACGTAAACGCTAATACATTATTCTTTGAACACCCTGAAACAAGACATAGTGAAGTCTGTTCTCTCATACCGGGGAATGTTGTAGGTGCATCCTCGACTCAGACATACAGAAAGAGCATGCGTTGCACGAAACAGCAAGGCTCAAACGAACGGAACAGCAGGCCAAAGACAAGTAGATTATAGAAATGAGACGTATCGTCTAGCCAGAGATGAGAGCTGTTCAGCACTGGTGGCGGTAATTCAACGATGGAGCGAGTGCAGGTGGTGAAGAAGTATCCATGTGGTCGAAAAGTCTCAAAGACGGGTGAGCCTTGTGATTTCAGCACTAACCGGAAATACAATCTCACTCACCATCAAGAAAGATGGCATGGAAAACAGTCTGGATCTGTGTTTCTAAATTATGTGGCCGTTGATAGCTGCAACAAAGGTCGTCCAAGTACGTTTGGTCGTGATGGCATCGATGATCACGTGACGAAGATCACACCAATAATACCCGAGCATGAATCGTTCTCGACCAGACCGCTTTCCCACCACTCTCCGAGAACGGCCACTCCTCTGCGGCTTCGGATTCTGCCATCAGCAATTCTCCTCAAGTGGCACTGCCACACAATGCCGAGGTGCACGCAGTCTCAACAGCTAAAGCAATTGTTCATGCCGTGGCTAACTCACTGGGACACCCTTTGGCGACTTTGGTCGACTTTCCTCATAGTCAACATCAAAGACTTGAGACTCTAGACGGCGAGTATGCTACTCCTTATGCCCAGGACGCTCTGCTCCTCCATGAGTCCAGAGACAATCGTATCCCAGAGACATCGTCGACCTCTGCGAGTGGCGTTCCTCACCCCACAGCATGGGATGAAAGGCGCCGGAAGAAATGCAAGCGTCTCTGCGACTCCGACGAAAAGAATGTTCTCCCCGAATACGAAGCAAAGCGGTCTCGCAGATGGCCCAGGCAGCAGAGAGCTATTGAATGGTTGACACAGGCTGGGAAGGATCATTTTGACCACTATATGGCAGGACTACTTAGCTCTTGGGGTTTGAAGCCATCACATAAGGGGTCCTGTCTCCTCTGTCCAGCGGACTGGGCTGCGCTCTCCCCTCTGCGGGTTGCTAGTCTTTTCGAAGTTGGGAAGTGTCCCGTTGCGTGGGCTGATTCGCCGGTCAGTCCCTTCCTACACCTTTGAATCGAGGGCCTTGACTGACCTAGCATAGGGCTACAAGTACTCGGACCACAACACAAGCTTAACACGCGCAATAGCATGGTTTGCAGATCAACAATAGCCGCGTAGTAGGATAGAGCTTGACAACTTCTTAGGATGTGGGCCTTACAAGTCAATGGAAGGTTCTCATCTCTGCAATCATCCGCTATGCATCATTCACCTCATCTACGAGAATGCGCAAATGAACCAAGAGCGAAAGGAATGCCATGCCAGAGCACGGTATTTGCGTCAGTGTGGACTCCCTGTCCCAGAGAAATGCGACAAGCATTATCCTAACGGATGCCTACTACAACAGGCTGCTTTAACAACTTACGAAACTCTCCTCATCCAATTCTGGATTCTCTATATTGCGGCCGGCCAAACGCCTCCACCTCCCCCTTGCCGCCCACGTTGGCTGCGCTATCCGACCTTCGAATTTGAGCTGCCGCTCAAATTTTGCAAAGGGACGTCTGCTTTGGCATTGGAACATCAAGAGTTAGTCACCCAATTTAGAACTCCTCACGAAGCTAGGCCTGAGTTGCTATGTTCATTTTGTCGAGGCATCAAGGCTTTCAAGAGTGTAGTTGCTTTGTGGTCTCACCTCGTTCAATATCATGATACAGCACCAGAAACCCCCAATAGCTCAAAAATCATCGTGCAGCAGGATCGTCTTCTCCAAGAAGTCCGCCATACAGCAGCAGCGTGGCACACGTATTAGGTTAATCACAGCGATGGGGGCAGAAAACGCGACCCAACCATAATGAAGCTGAATAACGTTGAATCTGAGGCATTTACTTGGGCTACTGTTCTAGGTTGGAATCTTCGCTGACGTTGTCTTTCATCTGTTTATAAGTATCGATCTGCATCTCTGGTCGTGCCTGGAATAGACGACTGAGAACTCCAATTGCTGAAGCTTGACCAACACAAACATACTTAAGAGGAGAATTCTATATAAAGACATTCACTCCATTTCTGCACACTACTTTACTTTTCGCGATATAGTAGTCATTTTCATATTGCTCGTTTTCGAGTTGTAGGTTTTATCTATCCTATTTTCTTGTCCCTTTTTTCCATACGGCAGCCATATCTATTACACTATTTCACTATTAAGCTGGGTAAAGGACCTGATCATTATGCCCATAACTGCGTGAAAGAGTCGTCTCACTTTCTCCTGCTGGCAAATCCACTTCTTGAACTCTCACTCCGGAAATCTTTTTTCAATATAATCGCAATAATCAACGGTTCCTCTATCTGAAGTTACAAATAATATTTCTTCTCTATTATCAGCATCCGACAATAATAATATATCTCGTTCTTATTCTTTACTAGTCAATCCTTTCTGAAAAAGGTTCCCGTTTCTTCCGCTTTGTGTCATAGAATCTAGCACGTTCAGTTGGCGTCTGGGACGATCCGGTATACCTTTGTTCAACAAGCTATGAAAAGGACTACCCTGCCCTCCCCGAGAAGAGGTCAGTATTTACACCTGCCCATTAATAAGATCACTGCGATCTGTACGAGAACTTTCGAACGCTGCGATAAGCTTTTATGGATTGCGGTCCTGGATCCATTGGTCTCTAGGAAGATTCACCAATTCTTCGCGAAGATATTATAGCAAAGCAAAAGGCACCATAGTGGTACGTTCAGAGTACAGCATTTCATCTCTTGCTAGTGCTAATCAAAGTCTAGGGAATGAGCGATGCGAGCTCATCAGATCATCGAGATGAGGGCCATTCGGAAACTGGCCCAGAGACCATGTCTACTGTGATGGTAACAATCCCACAGCTTCCAGACAATGAGGCAGATGCATGGAAAGCGAATAAAGACTACTTCAAGTACTTTCGTTATACTTCGGAACTTGGGGCGCATGGCTGGGCTACTCTTGACGATATTGACAAAGCAATTGTGATATCTACGTTCG